CGTCATTTATCATATTAGAAAGGAATTTTATTTAGCATTAGAAACCTCACTGAAAAACAATGTTGAATCTTCATCACTAATGAATAGTTTTCTTTCAGGGGGGTTGAATTATAGGTTCAATTTCCTTTTTGGTGATACACTATGGAACATAAATGAAAATGTGGGAAATACCTCATCAGCTTTAATTAGGAAATATGTAACTGATTTATGGCAATATAGAAAAGAAATGATGAATGTAATTTAAATAAATGTATTACTGTTTTCATGCTGCCGATACAAAGGTTGAATAAACATTATTATTATTATTATTGTAACCATAAGATTTTGTTTACAGTTTCTATGACTTGCAATTGTGCATGGTGAAGAGGGCATTGGGCAATATTACCTTTGTACCTTCTATGTACAATGCGGAACGTATATTCGTACCAGTCAGCATAGTAGGGAAAAGTCGGTCGTTCACTCTCAAGTCGTCATCAACAACTCTGGCATTGACCGTGTGGTATAGCAATAACTCTCGTAAAAAGGTCTTATTGGTTTCCAGCTGATGGGACAATACTGGGTCCAAGTTCGCAAAGGCTTCGTTGAATGGAGCAAATATTGTGAATGGACCTAAAAAGATTGACACGATTCAATGTTTTACTAGATTTTACAATTATTTTAATATTTTTGAATATTAATATTATCCAGAACATCGTGGTTTTACTTCAATGATATATAACCGGTATGTGATTTAAATTAATTTATTTAACATTTACATAATTTACCCATTACCTGTTCCGTTATACAGTGTTTTATCTAGTCCTGATTTTCTGACGAAATCCACATACGTTGTCGCGCCCCATTCTTCAGCCATTTGAAGTACGTCTTTGGTGGGAGGGGGCGGTGGCCAGTGTAATGGGTTTAGCATCAAACGGTCGTGTTTGCGAAGACTCTGCATAAGTGTGAGATTTGCAAAAAGACAGAAGAAGAGGGTAGACAATACGCTACTTCGAATGGTCATGATGATGAAGACCGACTGGTATATCGGACAGTTATTCTTGAAAGTACAATGTACCCCTACAATGTGTTCAAATACTCGCATTGACGCATTAGACTGTTTTTAAGGTACCCCTTCCGAGTTCAAAGATCAAGAAGGTCATTGATTGCTGAATGATTTTATTTCTGAACTGTTCCCCGGGGGGTTCACTCTTTATGCCGTTACTACCCCATGTGCGTTCCAAATTTAGCGGGGAAAGGGGATGTTTTTCACGTTCTAAAGCGGGCCCGCGCGGGAGGCAAATAGGCCCCCTTTAAAAATATAATGTCTGCAATAGGCCCCCAGGAATAAACTCACAGGGTTGTTGCGCCCGCTGTAGGCCCCCTCTTGCAACAATCCACTCCCATACACCACCATAGACCATAGCTTGTTTGAGTTGATCACACCCTACTTGAGTGACAAAAACGGCAGAGAATGCTCGCAATAGGAGTAGAATGTTCTCAATATATGTCTGCAATAGGGGTGTGTTTCTTTTCTTCAATATGGGGGTACTAAATTTACAGTGCGTCTGCAATAGAGGGTATGGTTTGCCAATGTGCTGCCAGCCCTAGGGGCCTATTATTTTTTAGCAAGAACGCACATGGTGTAAGGTTTTAATATTGAGTGCCCCCCCCCCCCTGGAACTGTTCATTCACATCTAGCGTCACATGTGATCAGAAGTGAATCCGCGTAATCAGACGTGAAGCCAGGTTTCGTACAATCTGTGAAAAGTCTGATTCATGCGACAAATATTTACAGAATCACAAATTTAAATGTGTCATGCATGCAAAACAACTATATTAGTATCTGTAAAACACATTTTCCTTCTACTATCGGCAAACGCCACAAGTAAGCAGCTTATAAACGCCCGGGACCGAATTGAAATCCGGTGAAAGCCCGGGTGAAAGTTCTCGGAGCGTCACTCACGCCTTTGACTTTTACCAATACTTCGACCCGAACGTGGCCATCGCAAGGGCGTGATTACCACCATTAGTGATTGCACTTATCAGTGCAACTATAGTGGGCATGTGTGAATCGAGAACAGCTAGATTAGTAGATGTCCATCTTCGTCAGTCAAAGAAAATTTGTTTCGGGTCACCCCTCCAAACTAACCAAGGGTTGCCAACAAACCGTGAAATTCGGACGATGCTGTCAGACTGGTATATCTATATCCAGTGTAGAAGTTACGTTTCATTTATTAACAACGTGGAGTCTTAATATTAGAGCATCGAACAAGATAGCACTGTCCATAATAAAACAGTATAAATGAAGACCAATACTCGAGAATACATAAATCATTGTTTTTATTGCATGTAAATTCAGATGTACAACAGTACACGACAGTGAAAATGCATGCAAGGATAAAACTCACAAATAAATACACTAAAACGTTATGCTTCACTCAATATTTGTAACACATAGCACAGCTGCATTACTATAATACTGTTATTTTATGCAAAAAACAAATATGATTAAAACAACTTGAATATATCAAATAAAATAATCACTCATAAAAACAAAAGTAACTTCACAAATGGCTAAGAGGGCATACCAATAATTCACACACCAGTTTTATAACTATAAACATGCATGTACAGATGTAAAGCTCTTTAAAGAAAACTGTTCTGCCTGAAAACGAACCAAATGAAATTAATATGCATTGATGGATGTTGCAAAATATCTGATCATGCAAGCATCAGTATTTAAAATCACACATAGGGATTGGGGTTACATTTCTGAAAGCGAGTTCCACTTTTTGTCTTCAGTTTGTATTTTAGCATTGTTACTAGCAGTAGCAGAGCTAAATATTTTTTCTCCTCTGAATATCTAGTGTTGTAATTTTTTAGAATGTCACAATTCTTATTCAGATTTTTAGAAATTTTTCAACAATGTATTAAAACGACATTCATGCAGATATGTTGTATTAAAAAAATATGCGCAAGATGATATATAGTTCCCATTCGGCTAATTAAAGGGCGACAGTCATCGCGCTGGGCATGTATGACATTTGTGTTGATAAACATTGATTTTCCCACAATCCAATGCACTCTTCTAATGGAAATCACAAGTATGAAGTTTGACCTGGACGCGACGTGCACTGATTACCGCCGGTGACTCCTTTGATACCTTCCAATCACCTAAAAAATACTTAAAGCTTGGTAACCCTCAGTTTGTACAGTCAAAGTCGCCATCTTTGTTACATAAGACCCATATATCTCGTGCATGCATGGCGCGACAACTACTGCCCTTTAACATTATCATATATCTGAGACCAAAGACAATACAATTCATTATGCGTAAAACTCTGAATAAGTGCTCAAAAGCAGTATAGATGCATTTGAATATCTTCCTTCTTTGGAAAATGTGTGTCACATATGTCACATTCGATGCTTTCAGTTGTTTACATAAGACGTGAAAACAATGTAGTGCATGACTGAAATACAACAGAAGGCAAACGATGGCTCAGGCATGAATACTGTTATATCTCACTAAATTATTATTATTATTATACACGGAGGAAAAAATGTATAATAATAAGGTTTTCATGAGAATAACAGAAATTATGTAATCAGGCAGTACGATGATGAATGCTGCAAAGCAAATGATGATGCAATCCAGTACCGCCTGAGCTATCCTTGTAAAAATCTCATACAACAGCATGAGGTTTGTGCAATTCCAACAGAACCATTAAAATCATTTTTGGCTCAAATACACTGTCAATGCAGTTGTATTTCAATATAGTCATTTGACATACATACATTGACATGACAAAGTCCTCACCATGCTATATAGCAGACAAAACAGGTCAGCTATTTTGAATAAAAATGAAAAACAAAATATGTTTGTTAGTCAAAAATAATCTTAATGTATCAACATGTTTAGTTCAATTGAACCCATGATATGCTTGCTTTGTCAGGATAAAAAATACTAAAAGGTTAGAAAACTAACACTGTATACAATGTAAAAGGCATAAAACAACAGTTAGTTTTGTCCTAATATTCAAATGTTTTGGTCCTATGTTCTATGTCAATCAGTTTTACACAATGAATCCAGAGCTGAAAAGGCACAGTGAATTGCATAAAAGTTGTACAAACTTTCTTCCTGATCTGACAAATGGATCACAACTACCAAAGAAAAAAACACAATGAAATAAAGTCACTTGATTGCTACAAACATGCATTCAAAATGAAAACAGTATTGCTAAATTAACAGCCTGGGCGATGTTGACGTGCAGAAGTAAATTGCAGCCTAGAAAATTGCAGTCCTTTGTAAATAAAAAAAGCTTCAAAGTAAAATTTGAACAATCATGCGAGTGAACTGATTTTACATTGCTGAGACATATTTCATATTACAACTAAATATGCCCTTTTGTCAACATTGATACATAAGTATATGTATCATTTATTCTAAGTGCAACAAACTTGTGTAGCAAGTGAGAAAAGTATTGACTCTAAGCTTGACACACAGTCCCTTGAGTTTAAATTGAGAAAGTATGCTTCACACTAATACTTTAAGTAGATGCTATCATACAAAATATATATGCAGTACTGCATTGGCTCTATTTAGAAAAAATTAGTCATATTTTAACAACTCTGTACACAACACATACAATTTTCTGGTTTATACATGCTTCTAATAGAGCAAATACAGTATTCTGGAAAAGATACTTTTCTTTTATACTAGATTGCCGCTAGGGATGCTGCTATTGCTAATTAAAAAGACCATGTTATATTTGTCTGCAGTTTGTCACACTGCACAGTTAGGTTGCATTCCATCAATACATCATACACTGTAGGTGAAAAGCAATGTTAATTGGAAACTGTGAAGTGTGATGACCCCTGACCTTTAAGTGCACTGCTCACATATAACCATATATCAGATATCCAACACTTGTATATTTTGGGAGTCCAACATTTATATTTTTGTTCAATATGGCTCATTAACCATGCTGTAAATGTCAATGGGATCTATTACTATGATAATTTCGTACAAATCACTAACTCGTATGCGAGGTAGCCGCCCACTCGCCTGCCATTTTAACCCCATGTAATCCCTACATGCCAACGAAGACAATTGAAAGCATTGTTCATGAAATTTAAAACAGCCAATAATTCATAAAACATAACCTCAAGCAGAAATTAGGTATACGACTACTTACCAACTTTCCCAACAGCCATAAATACATATTTTCTGTCACTACCAGAATTTAAGTTACACAATATAAATTATTTATATTATAACAGCTACCATTATTTATCAATTATTATATACAAATCCCCTAAAATAAATGCACCATAAATATAAAAACACATTATATTATATTCATTAATGAGGAGAGGCAATTGTTTTAGACTAATTTTGTAATAGCAAGAACTGAATTGTTGAGTAGAAATATATTTTCCTATATACACACACATTTCTCAGTAGGAAGCCCAAAATATCACAATTTAAACAGTCCAGTAAAAAAGAAGAAGGGCAACCACACTACACTGGATACGTAAATGATACAGATTTGTAATTCAAAATAGCATTCAAAGCAAGAAAGGTTTAGAGTCACTCAAGTGACAATGACAAATTATCTACATATAAAACATTCCACCTGCATAATATACAGTGTTATAGAAAAAAAAACATCCGATTCACACATTTTAAAATTATTTTTACAATCCACATTTACAAAGTTAAAAAATATTAGTGTATTGAAATGTACTCAGTGTTCAAGTGTGTCAAGGTCATTATCATACAAAAGGTGAAAAATTGAAAATAGTACTGAGATTGTAAAATATAATGCAATGTTTGATATTTACAATATACATAGTTCTTTTCTCTGTACAATAAAATACAAGATATCAACATGGTTGGTAAGCACCTATGTACAATTGACCATGGGTCTAGGTAGTTCAGTCCAGTATCCCATGATGCCATGCAGCACCAGTTATATAGAATCCAACAATTGGAGTTAGTGTCAAAGAGACTGCAAATAAAATGAAAAAATGAAATCAGTTATTTCATTTGGAATGCAATTATATGATTACCACACTTAATAATTAGATTTAATATGTTAGATTGGATTGAAAACATTTGGCTGATTCAGCAAATACCTGTTACCACATATCAGTATTTGTAGAGCTGGTTGTTGTGGACTGTAAATAGCCATAAACACAAGTCAAGTGGATAATACAGCCCATTACACAACAAGTATTATATTCTACAATATGTGCAAACACTTCAGAATGAATCTTACATTTGAACTTGATCGCTTTCTTTTCCAACAGTCGGGGTGTATTTTCTTATGTTCTTCTGCTAAAACCTTAGCTTCTTGGGCAAAGACTCTTCGTTCTTCTACTTTCATTTTTTTCCATCTATCACCAAGTATGACACTAATTGCCCTGAAATTTATCACAGTTATTGACATCATTTTTAATAATGACAACATTATTTACTTTTATAACTATACAATCCGGGCGTCAACCAGGCTTGGTCGAACACAAGCACCTGCAGACCTTAACCAAGGTTCCCCCAAAGTGGCATTCGTTAGTGAATGAATCTCGGCCAGTGGAATTGGCCTTCCCATTGAGTCTGTGGCACACTCACCCAGGGTAGGAGTCGACCCTATGATATTCATCCTAAAGTAGGATTTGAACTTGGGTCTAGTGATCATGATCACGAGTCTGAAGCGACAACCACTATGCTACAATCTTTGCACAATGAGAATGTCCTTGACTATGACGTCAGTGTTATTTCCAGATAAGTTTTTACCATTTTCCAGGCAAAACTTTGTATAATATCAATGGCACTGTATTTCCATTATAATGTTGGGTTCAATTTCCATTGCGATCAGAGATCTGTTTTAAGTTTACTAAAATTCTGACGATCAAGTATACAGTTGTAATTGCTAAGGCCAGACTTTTATTATCCCTTGTTTTGGGAACCCGCCGAATGAACAAAAGCTGAAAATGAAATAAAATAAAATTTTATTTCAGCATAATTTCTCTCGCCCGTCGACTTGTAAGTGCAAAAAATTGCTTAAAAAAATTTATTTTTATCTTCATTTTTGTTTTGCCCGCTGCATAACAAACCCAAGTTGCATTTTTGTGAGAGTATCATGATCAAAGTACCGAAGTCTCGCGCAGATGAGAAACAAGGTTATACATGGAATAAAATTTTATTTCATTTCTTCTCTCCAACCAATGATCTTACTTATAATTCTTTGAGAATCACACAAATCTAATGGAAAAAAAGAATTAATTTTATTTTGTTTTCGCCCTCATCAAAAAAAATTGCCTTATAAAAACTCGAGAAACAAAGAATAAAAAAAGTCTGGCCTAACCAATTACGAATAAATAATAATACAATATCAACATTTAAGTTTATACCTTTGTTTTGTATAATTACATTGGCATAATTTCAAAGTATGGATTGTTTTCAATGTTGAAATGCTAGACGTCCGGGTTAACATGTATATTCTATGCAGCAATTTAGTCAATTAATACAAACAGTAATTTTTCTAAACATCTCTACCTGTTATCTTTACCAGGATACAGCTGTGTATACTCCACCCTGAACTTTTTTGCAAATAACATGAAGGCATTCATGGGTCTTTTACCACGAGTTGGTTCCGCTTTATATTTTTTCTGCCTGGATGGTGATGATGGATTTTTAGTAGGTGACTTAGGACTCATTTCTAAATCTCGTCTGTGTTTAGCCATACTACTAAGAGCTAATACTGCAGATGAATCCATTGGAGTAAAATCAAAGCTGAAATGATAAAGTGTTAGAGTAGGTAAATAGAAAATAAAGTAATAAATTTAAACAAGATAAATACAATAAACTATTTCTCACCTCCGAAAACTTTCAAAAACTTCAGAATCTTGAAAACTGATTGCTTCTGGATGGGAAGGTGAAAGGCATACATCACCACTTTCTAGTTCACAGCATGGTATACCGTATTTCACTACAGTCAAGCAAGGATTGTAAGATGACCATCCTAAAAATAAATAACTTCCTATGAGTCTCAAGATATTAAATATTATATTATTTATTATTTGAGGAGCTTCCTCACCCTATAAACTCATGTCCATCCTATTTTGTTATGTTTGCAGAGTAACAGTTATCAATCATAGAGTTCATTTTGAGTATATGTTAGGCAGACTTTTAGCAGCTCTAGTGAAAATTCAGGGTTTGTGGTAGTGGCTCCATGTCTCTTCACAGTAAACCAGCAGTGTCTGCTTAAAAATAGTCAATATATAAATCAAGTTGAGTCAAGTTTATTACTGCTGGAAAGAGAGGTCTAAAAAATGTATGTGGCTGTTGATTTCAGACACTGAACACTAAATTGATTTCTTTTGTTGATGTGAATTTCATTTTACCAAATAAAATGTTTTCCAAAATCATTAACCATTGTACAATTTTCTGTTGCATCATTGATACACCAGGGATTGAGCAACTAATTGTATCATAACAAATCTCTGTGTGTAACTAAAATGTCATATTGCTTAGGTCACAGGCTGTAAATCAGAAAATATTAAAATAATCTACTTTATGAGAGGAGGAATAATTTGGAAATGAAACTGACCTTTCTCCTTAACAAAGAATGGATGATCTAAAGCACATTCGACAACCAGATTAGGTTGATCTGGTAAATCAGGATTTAAAGTCAATACCAAAACACTGTCATTATTATTATCACCAGCAGATTTCTCCTCTATCTGTACAAGTCTCAATCCATTAGCTGCATATCCAGACAGAGATGATTGACCTCTGCCCTCACAGTCTTGCTGTTGATTGGCTTGTGCTGCCAGCATTTCATTATTGCCAATCTCTTCAGCCAATCGCCATTCAGTTCTAGCTCCTGCAGTGAAATGTACTTTTGTACCTGGTGATAAAATGAAAATCTTTACATACACTGGTTAAATAAAAAATCTGTAGCACTATTCTGAATACTTATTGGTAAAGTGATGTTGAACTTCAACGTTTACTCACAACAAGATCACATCATATGTTTTACCAATTTTGTGCAAAGTTGGCAATTTAGCAAATGCAGATACCTTTCATGAAACATTGCCATACAGCTGTCGGCCATGAATGTGACCATGTTCCACTAGAACTTTCATTGACTTTAGGAGAAGCAGGAAATGGAGATGATGATGTCACTCTAGCCTCATCTTCATGTGACATAGTATGTTTGCATGGTGGAGTACTGAATAGTTCATTGTGACCTATAAGTGGAGGTGGACTGGGTGATCTTGGTGGCTTGGCATAAGAATGTAACGATTTCTCAATTGTCAAAATTGGACTCCTATAAGAACAAGATAATATTAAAGTTACATGTTTTTTTCGAGGGACAGCTTGGATTAGGAATACAATTAGTATTTCAATTAAAATTACTTTCCAGTTATATTGTGAAAAAATGTGCACATTTCTGTTTTTTCATTGTAAAAGTGTATAAAATAAATGACATTTCACAATTTTATTTTCTCCCAAAGAGACATAACATTCCTCCAGAACTCATCACATCAACAGTGGTTTGGTATACATGTATATATTATTTAAATAAACATATAAATCTGTTTGTGACTATTTATTGTAGATGTATAGGTATGAATGGGTAAATCAAAAGGTTTGAAAGTATAAGGTTAATATTTACCTAATTTAAGAGTAATTTAATGGAGAAGATTTAATTATATGCACATTGACTTTCTTCACCATTATTTCTGACAGCTGTATATGTTCTTATCATTGTTATTACCCCAATAAATCATTGTCCGTAGAATTATTCAGGAGTCACACATGTCAAATGATTACGGCACAGTACTATAGTCTCACCTTCTAAAGCTGCACTTTTGTAGTAAAGGACTCTGAGGACTTGTTGCAATTATAGCTAATTCCGTCAACCAGTTTGTATTTGAAGGTTCCGTGACATCAACATCTTGGATATCATTATATGGAGAGTGGTTATTATTGAGTAGACTTGAGGGTTCTGCATAAAGTGAACTATCTGTGTCTATAGTAAGAGCACTGGGAATAAATTTAGACCTCTTTGGTGTTTCCATGGCAGCAGAATTATTTATTTCTGAAAACATAATGGTAGAAAAAAGTTTGAACACAAATTGAAGCAATTTAATTTGACAAAGAAACATGTGCAAGTGAATATATTTGTTCTATTATAGTGGCACTTAAGTAAACAACGGAGGTGTGTCTATTGACAAAATAAGTTATATTTAATATTTTTACAGCGGTTCTGAGAATAATTCACACTGTCAGTTTGCTCGCAACTTTGCAAAACATTAAGTGTTTGCTATGTTCTAGATATGGCGGCACCCCTTGACAGATAGAATGCTATGTGATTCACTATTTGCAAACTTAGTTTACATATTCAATAACTATTCTTCACAATGTATCTAATTCAAGAATTATTAAAACATATCATATAACCTGTCCATGTATTCTAATGAACATGCATCATTTTTAAAAAAAACTGCGCTTTACAATCATCTAGTAATGAAAATGGACTGATCTAAATTTGTGCATGTCAATGAGACGGCGCTGCCAAGTCTAGATTTGACAAACCTGATGGTTTTGCAAAGTTGCAATCCATCTTACTGACTGACTGTCTGAACAATTTTCAGAATGGTTGTAATAATCCTGCATACAATAAATGCATTTTTTGGTTTACGTATGCTTCTATTGGAAATATAGTATATTCACTCTAATCAACAAATAGTTCCCACAATATGCGGTCATATTGTTCTCCACTAAACTACATTTTTACAATTTCTTTCAAATGCATAATACCGGTACACGAGTTCCAATACACATTTAGATCCATACAAATGAATGCAAGACACAACACAATACTGTGTAATAAGCCAGATGTGAAATGAATTGGATTTATTGTGGGTTCGATTGGTCTGTGGTTGCACACCAGAATGGGATGAAACTCTTAGTCAGGAGATGAATGGGTTCAAATCTAACCTAAGGAAACTCAAATAGTGATCTGAGGCTGTTCCTCTTTCAGTGGTTAACACAAACGAGAAAGTATCAACAAGCTCTACTGAGCTTTCTATCTTGTCATTGTCAATTTTCCCTTCTGAGGATGTTCCTCTCAAAGTGGTTTTCACACATCAAGAAGGTCTTGACAAGCTTCATTGCTATCAAGCTATCTCATCATTGTCAAATAAATAAATAAAGAATATTATGACAAAATTGATCCAAAAATTATCTTATAAATAATAACCTTGGTAAAGATTATTACCATGCACCTGGTCCATTTCATTACATGTTAAGCCAAGTCAACAAATGAAATATCTCAGCGTTTGACACCCCAAAATAGTTTAATATTGCAAACCATAAAAACAAGCATTTTTCTGATACCTGTGTATACTAGCCCAACCTAGTCTGTACCACAGGCATACCCATGTATAAGTATAGGAAATCACACAAGTAGAAGTAAAATGTTTCAAGTGTAATATGAGGTTATTACGAGGATACCTCAAAGTTTGCAGGAAGACAGTACAACGAATTTACAGTTGAGTTACAGAAATAAACAAACAGCCAGAAAATGGCAAGCGTGACCAAGACACAAATATGTATGTATGATACAAATACACAATACACCACACACACACAAATAGCAATGACAAAGAGTCTACAAAATTAGAAGGAGATAATAAAGTGGTACTTAAATTCATTTATTTTATATTGTCATTCAGTTAGCATGCAACCCTCTTAGATGTTACAACATTATTTATGACCTTGACATTTTGGCCTACAAAAAGTACTAGATAATATCAATGACACTGAGATAGATAGTTATTTAAGATTAAAAACTTGATAAATTAAATTCAATCAATTTTAATTTTTTGGAAAACTACAAAACAAAACAAATTAAAAAAATTTTTTTTTACTCATAATTAGAGCAATTAAAAGATAACTAATTAACAAATTACAGCACAAGTTTGTTGTTCATTATTCATCCATAACTACCAGTAAACAATAAAATGATGATAAACTAAGTATGTGGCGGTATTAATTGTCAATCACACTTTTTTTGGGCTGTGAAACAACGAAATACATGTAAAGTAAAATAACTTTGTTAAAACAAGATGCATCAGTATTATTATACAATATATTAATTATTCATTTATCAAACTTAACATTTTTCATACTTTCAATATTTACATACAACATAATAATGTATAATAAATTGGTGCGAGTAAACTCATTAACATTAATATGCATTTAATGAGACCTCTTTAAAGACTAGATTCATACTCATCACTGACCCTTGCATATACATTGACATTCTTAATCTCATCTTGTAGTTCTCAATGCACCTGTTGCATTCAATGAAATCTATTATCAGACCTTTTATCAGTCTTTTAAAAATGACCTCTGTACAAGATAAGGTGAAGTGTCTCTAGGTTAAAGGTTAAAAGTTAACAACAACAACAATAATAATATATATGTATGTATGTATGTTTTCAGCATAATATGCACAGTACTATGAATACGATACTAGACCTTCAAAGGCATTAAGGTGTGCTTTTATATATTTATTTCACAGTAGGTGAGATCAAACTTGTGCGATATGTTTTTTTTCATGATGCTACTGCTGTATAATATGCACACTTTTGTCTTCCTATTTTAAATGTCATGACTTGATTTTATAAATAGGTTTTTGCTCTGTCATTTTCCCTGTAAGATTTTTGTTTTTCTTGCTGGAGACCCCTCCCCCTCTCCAAGTTTCTATTGGTAACCTCCTTAAATATATAAATCTACTTAAATAAACATAATTAGTGAGGAATTAAACATAATGTAGTGAAGTATACTTTGCTTTACAAAATAAAGTTAAATCTAATATGAAACTATAAAGCAAAGAGTTTAAATTTATGAGAAAAGTGTCATTTGCCATTCCTATTTGGTAATCTAATCTTGCTTTAGGTGAAATTCCTATAATGAATGGATAGCTTAGGAATTAGATGAACATTTATTACTAATCTCTAACTCAATGAAAATTCTGTGATATTAGTGTACAAATGTCTGAGTACAGATACCCCTGTGAATTAGCTGCACAAGACAGCCCATACATGTATTCTATAGCTGAGTGATCCATATAACCTTTGCTTCAATACATTTCAACAAATAAAGAATCTCAATAAATCTTTTAGTGTATGCTGTTATTGTTAGACGGGTTAAACAAACAAAAAATGAAGGGGCAAGGCCTATTTTTTCACAATGATCATGGCAATTGTTTAAGTTATCTACATATAGCTTTGATAAATTTTATATGAAGCAAGTGAACTTTTAATAATTTCAGTCCAGACAACACATGGCAATAATTCTGTAAAGGTGCACCACAAAATATATGGGCCTTTAAGCAGTAGATTTGTGATATATGATACATCACTACCTATTAAAGATTATTGATAGACAGTCAGTTACATAAAATATTAAGTGCTATAAATACTAAAAAAAGAATGTCATCATTGTATTACAGGTAATGTATCAAACTACTGTCAAATATTTTCATATCACAGTTCAGCAGAGTACAAAATGAAACCTGTTTACCACAGTAAGTATAACAAACTTAAGTTTTGACCATTTTTACTGTAATACACACTTTGTCAGTCTAAACAATCTTTTAAAATTTCTTAATAGTAATTAAAACAGTTTTCAAAATCATTGACCACAAAAAAAAAAGTAGAATATAATTTGCAGACAATGATTTCTATCTCCTGCACTTTAAAATGCATAGCCACATCATTACATATGACAGAAACATGAGTATAAATTGCTCTTGCATTGTAATATACAAGGAATAAATAAAACTACTACTGTATGTACCGGTATTTTGCAAATAACTTGAGAAAAAGATTGTATCATAACATGTGATAAAAATAATTACATATTATCTCTAATTATGTTCAAGGACCAGAAACAAATGTTGGTCATTGCATGTCAGTTAGGGACAACATCAAAAGTTCAATGTAGGATAAAAAACTTAATTCCTTTACCAATAGTTTTTTCCCAAACCCCCCTACCCCCCACTGAAACTTAATTGATAAATAATGACCATGGTGTCAGACTACATTCACCATTAAATACAATTTGATAATCGAACAGTAGTATGGCATAGCAGTTGGTTGTCGGGTGGGTGTAAAAAGACTTTACACTCGGACCAAACCATAGAAAAAAATTACAAATACTCCAAAATTATTTTGACTTCATAAAAAAATAAAATCGTTTCATGTAGGATAGAAACTTTTTGAGGTCGAAACCCCCCACCCCCAAACTAAAGCAAATAAGTTTTTTATCTGACATCGATCTTTTGACTTCATCCCTTAAAAATGTGTGCATTATCAATAGTTTTCTGATTTTGTGGGAAACTTTTAGGAACAACAACAAATTGATTTAGGAGAATTTTTATATATTTTTGGGACCTAGAAGGATAATTTTTGTCATTCTAATCTATTTTAAAAATCTGAGTTGTAAATATGGGATTTAAGGGGACTGAAGCTGCTGGAATGTTGTGCATATTATTTTGCTGCAGTTTCACAAAATGCAGTATTTTAAGACTCACTGACCTAATTAACAATCTCAATTAATGCTGACTAAGCAAATAGCAATAGTAGTAAGCAGGGTAAGTCTGAACTACAGTTACGAGTAGGAGATAAATGTATACCACATTACATAAATAGATTAAATAACCACTGTAAACTGAAATTAACAGGTGCGTTTGCTTTTCCATTCATTCAGAAGTGAGTATTGATAGGCACATTAACTAGACCAACATGTTGTGACTTGTTCTGATCACCTACGACAACGATTGAAACCAATTTTGTCACCTTTCACAACGCCAAGCTTATCTACCTGTGAACATAACATTCCACGCATACCAATCTTTTAACTACTCACCTTCTCAAAAAATAATAATCGCCAGAAGTATCCATTCTAAAAAATTTTCTTGATATAATTTATCACTTTGAATGAGTTTAAATGTCTGTCGCAAAGAATGACGCTGTTATGTGATAGTCTATTCAAGATTTACGCACTTATTGTCGCACACAGTATAATGTTTTCAACACCCATTCAAATGACGGACAATAGCAACAAAAGGGTGGCTTGGCATAAATTTACATATATTATTACCAAATATGGTAGCAAAAGTAGCACTGTACTTGAGTACCTGCATAATGAGCTATGTAAATTCATTTATGCAATTTAACTCAAGCTAATTTTATTCAATAAACGGGTAAGAATGATAATTTAAAGATGGAACAGTGTTTTTTAGAACATTCATCAAATTCTTTTATAAATACCCTTAGTACCTCTTTTGCCCTAGCCCTGCAAAGATAATTCCACAAAGAATATTAAAAGCATAATCCAAAACTCTAAGAATTGTACTTGAAAAGATGGAAATAATTTCTTACCATTAATATTTGGTCCATGTTTGGTTGGTGTAACAACACAATTTACAGAAGTCATATCAGTGTGTAATACTGCTGAATTATCCTCGCATCGAGTTTTTTCAAGGTGATACTTTAGCCCATTAGAGCTGAAATAAATATTGAAATTGTTCTGTAAAATTTGACTATCATATGGCAAAATCGTATTGTTATTGGAAATGACATTTAATTTTTTAATAGTTCACCACAAAAAAATATATTTAAACTTACATTAAATCTAAACCATAATTTATTGATTATATTATAGTTGAGTAGCTAACAGTGAACAATAATTAGAAATTTAATGAGTTAATTACCTTTTGAATGTTTTTGAGCATTTGCGACACAAGTAAGGTCTTGCTTCTTCATGCGTTTTCATGTGGTACCTCAGTCCCGGGGAACTACCTAAAACTTTATCACACCCTTCTGTGGGGCATCTCAGAAGTTTCTGTGGTGATAACTCTTGACTCTGTGTAAACTGTTGCATTTTTTCTGTTTTTGTATGTTGTCTTGATTTCTAATGAAGTGAGAAAATTAATGTATTAACATATGATTTACTATATCATTATGCCATGCACAGACAGAGATGAAGCACCACCATATTAAATAAAGTCAGATCAAGTCTAGCAGTGTTGTATGCGTTAGAAATTAGTGCAAAACAAACAAACAAACAAACAAACAAACAAACAAACAAAGTGTGAACAGTTAAATAAACATGATCAATGTGTGTTTACAAATAATTCATTGCAGTATCTTTTGATCTATTGTTAATAAACAAATGCTGGGGCTGCTGTGTCTCTTTTAAGCAACAGTAAATGTGTCACATTTAAGTTTATTGTGATTCCATCGTATAAACTAAATTATTAGACAAAATATTATGGCGTTAATTGTATGCATGTTGTAAAAACATTGATGTAATATATGGAACAACCTTTATCAGGGCCTCAGTTTAATTATTGCGACAACAAGACACGGGATGGGATGGATTGCCCAGGCAGCTGTCTGAAATAAGGCTTCAACAAAAACAAACAACGAATACGCTTACATAGTCGATCGCGTTTATTGGAATCAATTAGCTCATATAGATTGAACACTTGTTGCTTCACTATATATCGGGAAATGCAAGCATTATAGATCGGTATTTGACAAAGTTAGAACAACGCCATTTATGGTTCTGTTGGTCTGTAGTAAAACAGAATGAATGAAACGGCGCTACAGTGAGCCGACACGTACAGTACATCGGGGTCAGATACTGTGTTGCTCAGCGCAAATCTCCTCTCGTCCTGCAATGCCATTACAACGTTCTTAATTAAATCCCTTAAAATCGAAGGTTTACATTCGATAAATAATACAACAATATTTGAAGTTTTGCCATGAATGAAACTGCACTACAAAAACCAGGGTCATGCATGCAGTAATTCAAAAGTTATGTTAAAAAATTGCCCGGTATAATAGACACTACTTGATGTAAAAAGACAATATATGATATGATGCATAAATAAATCACATTTGTAGGGCATGTCATCTTCTTTAAAACATTCACTTTTAATGTCAAAACTATCAATGAAATAGTAAGACCGACCCGGTGACACACAGCAAATTAAATCCCCGCAGGATTATTGTCCAACTTTAGACGACGAAAAATACTACAAAAAAGTAGTACACATTCGTAATTATCAGCGTATGAGTCAAACCAATTTTTATATATTTTTTGCGCACCTGGTGTGAACTACAGTCATGAGCAAAACAAAGTTTATGAAAAAATTTCTACTAAAACTTCATAATGAAAACTACTCACCACAACCGACGCCATGATGGCTATTGTTGGCCGTCCATCAGAGCTACATAGTAACCGTAAATAACTCAAGAGGTGATTGGTCAGCCATAGTCACATGTCATAAAATGAGCTATCTTATTGGTGAGTTTGTAAATTGATTGAATATTTAAATGAGTAGTACGATCAATGTCGAATTGTCAATCTCATACTGTTGTGGAACAGTACTTTTATCTGACGTCCTCCCTCCGCTACGAACATATTTATATTGGCATAATGGAATACAAACATACTGCTTCTACAGAATTAATGCAGACGCAGACATCTAATACTTTTTTTCGGTTTGCAATTAAGATTTATGATACGACATTTGAAGTTCCCGGTAACATGTATTATTTAATCAGGCCTGTAGTAAAATATCGGGTGGATGCACAAGCCACATATAACAGCCAAAGCATCAGCTGACAGACAAATTGGAAGAGCGGGAATTTCCAAAAGGGCTTCCCCCGTTCACGGTTTTGTGGCAAAACAAAGGTTGGAAATGTCAGTAGAAGTGCCATATTCAATTTTTTGCGTATATACCATCTGAGCAGCGATTGAAAAACGATAAAATAATGGTGAGTATAGTTATGGAGCTATGGTATAAGACCAGACACAAATCGTCACTCCTAACCACGGCTTCCCCGGGATGGCATCCTATCACATCACATCGCACCACACATTGTCGGCCTGTAGCACAAATTAATTATAATATACCTAGTTTTGTTAGTTTGGTGAGTTAGAATGGTTTGAGTTAATTATGATGGTACTCCGACTACATCTTGAGACCCCTTGAAACCTCTTTCAAGATAGCCATGAACAAATGTATGTTTATAAAAAAAACAAAATGTGAACGATATTATGAAGAATGCAAGTGACACGTGCATACTACTGATGATTTAGCACATATAAAATTAGTGATCTTGTCTAGTAAATACTCTGGCGCCTTTAAAGATGCATAATGGACGAAAACATATATTTTTTTAATGTTGTTGTTTGATAGTCCATATACTAACTGTAGACCAAATCGAATTATATATAATTAATCATAAACTAAGCTAAACATGCTGCATTTGTAGGACACAGAACAGTATTATTTTGACGAAAAATCAAAACCACTAGTGTGCATGTGCAGTGATTGTGATCGTATGTACCAAAACAACAAGTGCACATTCATATTAGAGAATTTTATTGCCTCATTGAACGAATATTCAGATGTATTGTACCAAATTATTTGTCAGCATTAAAGGGAGGTGGTTGTCGCGCAGTGCTGGTTTAAATTTCATGTAAATAAAAAATTAATATTACATGAGTTGTGTACGCAGCTATGAGTCTCATATCAAACAGGATGCGGCAAGACAACTTGTATATATCTCGTCCAAGTGAACTATTTCTGCCTCAATGTGGTGATGGCTGTAATCTTTACTAGTTTATAAACAGGACACACAGTCTTGGTTACCGTGCATCATGGCTCCATCAACAGAACAAAGTTTTGGATTGGAGATATGTATGTGTATTTGTTAAGTTTGTACACAAATATCATATCTTCTCTCAGGTTCCAATGACTGAAACTAAAAAGTATACATGTATAACACCAATCAAGTGCCCAGAAATGGGGAAATCTTGAATTTTAGGAACTTATTTAATTGTTCTACTGACACCATATTCCAGAATTAGTCTAATGATAAATCCCTGTATATTAGAAACATGGGGAGTTTATCTAGACATCTAAAAGTCCTTCTAATGACATCAAGAACACAGTTATAGTCTTGGAAACAGTTGTTATTCACTAATTTGCCTAAAGCTAAATTTATTGATGTGGCTAAACAAAAATAAATTTGGATAAATGCTTTAATGTATCTCGTATGTGGTATGCTGGAATTTCTCAACATATAATGACCAGCTCATGTCTTTATGACAAGTTTAGCTAACAGTTTGTTCAACCTAGAGTTAATTAATCATGAGTGTGAGCGGTAACGATTTGAGGAGGATTTGGCCATTCAAATGAAATACCCATAGTTTGATTAGTAGTTATTCTGACTTGTTGGTACATTGACCTCATATACCCTGCTTTACGATATGGCATATATATAACCATACAAATTCTAGAGCACCCATTAACCAACTTAGAACAGCTGTGGTACATCATGTATTAGATAAATCATAATTTTGTACTCATGTTATGCTTTATAAACAAGGAAAGTCTGAATAGTCAGAGGCGGTGGCACAAAATTGTGCATGAGGGGACGAGATCTGCTCACCAACCTCGTGCCGAAGGCGCTACCTTACTAGGGGGTTTGTGCCGGGGGCATGCTCCCCCTTAAAAATGTTTAAATCTAGCCCTCTTAAACGCTATTTCCTGCAGTTTGAGGGGCCAAGTTTTGTTGATACAAAGGGTTTCAACTTGATTTTGGAGGGGGGGCGCCCCCAACATTTTTTTTCAGGGTGCGATCACCCCTTCTGCTCTCTGTGCCGCCGCCACTAATAGTTCATGTGAGTAACCATAAAGTCATCTCAATTATATTTTTTTCTATATTATTTGAATTTATTTTAATGTCCTTTCAGTTAGAACTGTTCTGATTTTAAACAGTATGCATGTTTGTTTTAGGATGAAAATGGTGTATTTGAGGAAAATGCTTCTCAACTGAATCTGAGTTCTGCAGCAGCAGCAGTAGGTCAGCTGAATGATGATTGTGATGAAATACTGAGAGAAATACACAAGGTAACAATTACTAGTAGGGGTTTCATCAGTAAATTTCTTAGCAGGCAGGGGTTACTTTGCTATTCAGTGTACTTTAGAAAGAGAGATAATCAATGTATTTTTTTAGGATTTTTATAAAAAAAAAGCCTGTTGGAGACTCTTAGTTAACTAGTGGCTTAGATGGCAATGGGACGTAAAAAGGTGATACAATAGATTATCACATGACCTTTATAATAGTGCATATCATTCACAATAGTGATATATGGTGTAAAATATTACTAACTGATATTTCACACTATGATATTTATGATGAGTCCCTTTGTGCTAATACAGTATGCAGAAAAAAACAAACATCATGTGATAGTATCGTTTTTATCACTGGGATATGAGAATTTCAGATGACAACATTTACTTAGGCGATATAATGACAATTACTTAATTTGAAAAAAAGATATCACTAAAAAAGGTAACATTTCTGTCGATTTCAGAGACCATCAGCGACTGTAACTCCAAATGTTCATACATTAACATGCTCTGATGTCACACATAATTAGCTTAAATTTGCATATGATTGATAAATGTAGTTCTCAGTCTTTTTGGCACTCAGAGTTGGGCATGTGATAAAAAGGTTATCACCTGATACCTCTTACTGTATTCCTAAAGCTGGTTAATACTTTGGCATCATAGGCTGTTATCCACACACTTTCGATGATAGTACTAGTCCTTGATGTCACATGTATCAATCAGCTCTATGAATAAGTGATAAGATAGCCAACAGGTTGATGACCTCATTATGACGTATAGCGGTCACTACTCAAGTCAGTCGTGGACTTTATGTATTCCAACGTGTAGTGGTTACAATATATATATCGGTAGTAGTGCCCTGGCAGTGTTGCTTTTTAGACTGCATAGTGATCTTTTTTATTGTAATTTGCTTTCATCAATGATTAAAACAAACACACAGGAAACACAAGTCATTTGATTTTGAGGTGAGGGGGCTAAGTAATGTATGTGTCTAAATGACAATAAGAATTTTATGTGTTAAAAATATCACCGATATAGTTAGAGAGTTTGTAATTTGATAAAATGAAATTAATATTTCATAAATAAAGGAAATCAGAGGCCACAACATTTTATTTCATTTTGAATCTGAATTCCTACAAAATCTGTCCTGTTAGAGGGCACACTGCTCCTGTGTGATAATTTACTGCCATGTATGTATCCGATATCTCAAGAACCACACAGCTGATTTCAATGAAATTACATTGGTGTGTTCAGATAATCCATAGAACTTTTTTACACTGTGTTCACACAGAGACCAGCTTTATAGTTAAGGAGGGTCATCACCTGTGCATGTGCGGGAATCGAGTTCCAAGCGACGTTAACAACACACGCTAAAAATGCAAAGGCTCATGGGTAGACGCTTGTTTGTAAACAATGACACGCTATGGCCATCTGACGCATGCGCAGGTGACTACTCCCTCGCTTTAAGCCAGCATTGAAACACGTAGGAACAAGATAAGTGATGGCACACCGATTTAGTTTAAGACAGCCTAAAATGACAAGTCTTGGTCGGCACCCCATATTTATAGAAATGTTTTTAGCACATGTGAACAATAACGCTGCCTTAAAAGCTTGCCCTCAAGGCTCAATGTCAACTCTGGAATTCCATTCATTGCAAGTATTTTAAAGAAATGTTTATACATGTATGAACACAGGATCAATTAAAACCACTAATAAAGATTGTTTACAAAATTAGCTAAGTTGGCTTGGATGCACATGTGTGAACACGGTATTAGTTATTAGCTCTAAAATGTGCTACAGTCATTGTTCAGTGTTGGTTGGAATTTTGAATAAACAAGC